GATATGTTGAAAGTTTTCCATCAAAACTGTGTGTTTCTTGACAGAAAATTAGGTTTTCAACTAAAGGAAATATTTTGCAACACGTCTGCTTTCCATGAAAAATTTCTACCTTTTTAAAAAAAGTTTAGTTTTCAGCCAAAATCTGAACATTTTGATTTCTCAGGACTGCTGTGGTACCTTCTGAGAGGTATAGTTCAGATGCCTCATGTTCCCTTTCTCTTTTATAGGCTGGCCTAGCCAACAGGATATTTCCCAGGGCGTACTGTGGCTATGGGATTTCCATGATGCACTGAAGTAGTTCACCAAAACGAGAAGAGGGTGGTGCAGCACCGGAGATGCAGTCCGACCAGAGGACCTGGCCCACAAACGAAAATGGGGGCATGAGGCAACTGAACTATAACTCCCACGAAGTACCAGAGAGGCACTTAATATTTTCAGTTTTTGCCTGGATAAGTTTGGGGGGGGGTTTGATTTTTTTCAATCAAAAAAGTCAAAATTCCACATGGGGACAAAGCCTCATGTTCTGACCAGCTCTACTTCTACTAGCTTGGAAGCCTGCGCCTCTGCAGTGACTTCCGTGAGGCTTCTCATAGTTACAGGAATATACCTTTGATGCTCTAGTTCTAGGATGAGATTGTTTACTCCTTAGCGCTGAAAAATGTTGGGCCTGTCTGTAAAGCAGCATGCACATCTATAGCAAGTGTATTAAACATTTAATAATATAATGGTAAATTATTGAACAATGGAAATATGTCAATTTACAAGAGCTGGTACTCTAGCTAGCCCAATAACTTTAAACCTTTATAAGTTTGTAATTAGTTTGATCTATCAACTAGTCTCTTTGAGGACTAGCAACATGCTGGCTTTAAGTTTGTAACTTCCATCATTTTGTGCTGTTAGGAGCACACAACAAGTACATTTTTTAAATAAACCGACAGTATGCAATTCTTTACACTGGCTGAATGAAAAGGGACACCATCAATTTGAAATCTGATCAGTTTAAAGAAATAAGTTAAAAGTAAGTTCGGATACTTTAACTGCCTGCTTTTTTTCTAATCATATTTTCCAGTTACTTTATGAAAGACTCAAACAAATAATAGGGGAACTGATTAATTAAGACCCTGATCCTGAAAATACTTGCACAGGTGAGTCCAGTCCATCAGCAGTTGTAATGGCATGCTCCCCTTGAAGTAAATGGAGTTACCCCAATGTACAGCAGCTGATGATCTGGCTCGATATGTTTCTGTTCTCAGCTGTGTAGGACTTTAGGAATGGATTTCAATGTGTGGGATCTGGCACTAAGTGATTAAAGCACAATCCTGCATAGTGCTTAGCACTTCCAAAGGGTAAGGGGTAATCTCAATGAGAGATGGGTGAAATTCTTCAACTAAAACTTTATTTTGGCAAAAAAATGCAGATTTGGTAACACCAAAAGTTTTTGCAAATTTATGTCAGTTTTGCCAAATTGTTAGTACAGGAAAAACTCCAAAATAATCAAAACATTTTGTTTTTCTGTTCAAAACAACTTTTTGGTATGAAATTCCATTTAATTTAAAAAGAATAAAAATATTTCAAAATGCTTAAAATGAAACCAAAATATTTTGTTCAACACAACATTTTTTACTTTCCAAATTTCCAAATATTTCAAAAAAATTCTGTTTTCCCTCCAACCCAAAAACGATTTTTCCCACTTTTCAACATTGCCAAAGAATTGGATAAACCAGTTATTTACCCAGTTCTACTATCAGCTTTCATTGGCTTCAGTGGGAGCTGAAGGTGATCAGCACCTTATACTACTGATCCCATATTCATGTTTTCAATTGGAAAACTCGCATTACCAATTCAAGATCCATTCCTGGTGAACATTCCACAATATTCATTTACAGTTCGTTGATTTTGTAAACTGTCCTGCCTTTAAGCACATTCACTGAAATAGTCAGAAGAACCCTAAATCAAACACAAAATGGTATTTTAACACTGCCACAGAGAACTGATTTTAAAATGTAAACAAATAATGGATGTCTTTCTAAAAAAAAGTATGATCCAATTCAACCACAAGTTATGCCAAGAACTCAGATTAGATTACCATAAAGGTCTTAAAAGCTATGAAATTGCAGGACTTCCCCCACCAATGCAGGTAAAATTGTTAAGATTGAAATGTCACAAAACTCAGTTTAATCTGAAATATTTAGGTGACTGTACAAAAATTATGGGAGTCCCCATAGAGCTTTGTAACATCATGTTTTACCTGTATTTCCACAGCTCCGTTTAACAATGGTACTTTCCACAGGTAAATCATAATACCTTTCAACCCATTTCTAATATCCTATGGATGTTATGTTGGATGAATTGCAGTTTAATTCCCAGATAGACTTTGCAACTCCTTGTAAATGAGAGGTGACATTTCTCAGCGTAAAACAGAGCTGGCAATGAAGAGGCTACTTTACCAATGGGTAGGAGCTTTAAAAAAAGATCAGACCGCTGATTCTTCTCCTTAAAGCAAGCTACTACAAAGCTGCTTTGCAGTAGTTTCTTTACACATATTTCCCCTTTAGCAGGCACCTCACTGAAACAGGGAAATTCCTTTGCTCTTACGAGTAGTCTTAGGCTGAGTGTGTGTTGTACCAAATGCAGTTTTCTGGTTCTCAGCAGGCAGTCACAAAAGCATTGTTTCACAGGGCCTTTTCCCCATAGAGATCCCAAAGAGGGTTAATTAGGATTAACCTTTTACTTTATGAGCTGCTACATAAATCTTAATTACTATGACTTTCCGTATAAGGAAAAATACCTCAGACAGGCTCAGTTCACCATTATTTGGGGTTATTCTACAGGCAATCAAATGGAAGAAGCATATAACTTAAAGGGGACAAAATAAAAAGGGACAGAAAATAGCTCCAAAATGTCCCCCTTCCTTTTAAATCTGATCAGTGCTTTTCAGGAAATTAAACACTGAGACTATTAGATTCAGATAGAAAACAGATGATGTTGTACATAGAAATACTACAGCAGATTATATGGCTACACAGCAGAGACATATGTGAATAATCAATGCAGTATTTCTGGAAAGAACCTTTTATGTTTTTAATACTTAACACTTCATAACAGGGCCTAATAGGCAGGATAAAAAGAAAGCAGCACAAAATGCAACTTAAAGGATGACTATTTTTCCAGACGTTTATACTTTTAGACCCTCTTTTCCCCTTCGCCACATTATCCAATTTGTCCTCATAGCCTAACTGCTATTTTAGCATTCTTCTTGTAGCTGGAAGCTTTGTCTAGTTCTTAAGTGGGTAAACTCTGCAACTGCCTTTAGAGCTGATAACAATGATACTCCATTCATTTAGCCAGAAGGGGCTACTGTAAGTGCAGTGTAAACAATGTCATGATATAGAGAATCACTGGTTCTTGAACAAGAAGTGGTTATAAAAGATAGCTGTAAATTATAGAGACAAACAAACAGGCTTCTACACTGGTTCGACTCCCAACTTTGTCTCCTTTGTTTACCAAGGACCATACCCTGAATGAAACTGTATACAGCACACAGAGACATCTAGTGGCTCACATTACAAACAGTTGCCCAGGAAAATCCAGTTTTTCAACTCTTCAGTGCCGCAGCCTTGACAGCCCAGGGATAACAGACTGAAAATTTGTACTCAAGCTTAGTTTCGAATGCATTCATAACCACAAGAAGTGGATTACTTGGTAAGTAAAATTCTGAAAACTATGGGAAGATTGTTAAGGGTTTTGGAAAATGATTAGTATTTTTAATGCTTCCTTTATGCAATAGAAGTCTCATGGCAGTATGAAAAACCACAGGGTGAAAAATATTTATGAAATTATGTATTAGTAACCAAGAATATGCATTCAGTGTATTAGGAATGAAATCACATTTTAGGCTTTCTATTATTAAAGGTACCTTGTCTGTCTCTCCCTGTCCCGCTCCCCATTTCCTATTACTTTTTCTTATTAGTAAAGGTGCTTCAATACAACCATTCAAGAGGGGTGGGGGGAAATGAGCACACACTAAGTATAAAATGGAACTTAATTGATTCTAGTATTTAAATGTTTTAGCTCATTTCTAATAGCTAGCACAGGGGTCGGCAACCTTTCAGAAGTGGTGTTTCGAGTTTTCATTTATTCACTCTAATTTAAGGTTTCACATGCCAGTAATACATTTTAACGTTTTTAGAAGGTCTCTTTCTATAAGTCTATAATATATAACTAAACTATTGTTGTATGTAAAGTAAATAAGGTTTTTAAAATGTTTAAGAAGCTTCATTTAAAATTAAATTAAAATGCAGAGCCCCCCGGACCGGTGGCCAGGACCTGGGCAGTGTGAGTGCCACTAAAAATCAGCTTGTGTGCCGCCTTCGGCACGCATGCCATAGGTTGCCTACCCCTGAGCTAGCACCTACATTTAAAACAATAGTATGAGTAGGTTCATTTTTTTATAGTTATCAATTTATCATGTGTAGAGGGTAGACCTGGGTGAACTAATTAGAATAAGTAATTTGACAAATGGAGCCTTTTTTCTGTTCAAATTATCTGCAAACCAATTTATTTTTTTACAAATGTACTTGTTCTAAATTTATACAAAAGTTAAATACTATAGGTTCGATTATTCATCTAATCATCATCTGTTTGTGGTGTGGGATTCATTATCTATGTCACATGGCATCCAGCTATTTTTGCTTCCTGATTGGCTGACTAGAACTTTTTTAAACAGGAAGAGGGAAAAGGAATTTCAAGATAGCCGTATGAAATTAAATTCACCCAAATATTGCCAAACTTTGTGTGAACATTCTTGCAAATAAACAATCAATCACATGAAAGAAAGTAGGGAAAATGAATTAAAAGGCTCACAAATACCAATGAAATGAATTTTCAGAAGTTTTTATTCAAATGAACATTTGAAACTGCTCTTGGAGTATTCATCCAGCTATAGTTCAAAGTTATGCAAATCCAGCACAAAAATGTATTTATGATGTAGAGTATTTTACCTCTCTTTCATTCATGTCATCATTTTGGCCTTCATATTCACCCTACAAAAACAAATCAAAATGGTAAGTGTAATAAAAGGAAAAGTATTTTAGTGTAATGCTATTGCTCAGCTGTTTTGCACTGACTTTTTTTTACTGTTCAATTACCACCTGACTATATTTATTTTAAGACTTTCTATTACTATGATGATACAACAAATATGCTGGTAGATATTTTGTATTTCTCAGACATAATTATTAGTGGCTATGAAACTTTTAACACTGATGTTAGAGAACTAAATTTTAAATTGTATATACATACATCATGAAGAGGATATGCTGCATCATAGACATTGTTTGCTATTAATGTAGTAATACCTAAAGAGAAACAAACAAAAAATGTCAATAGCTATTTATAATGAACAGAGATAGGAATAGATTATTACAAAGTATTCACTTTATTCAACTATGGCAGGGACTGAGATATATTAATGAAAATCATCAAATGAATAATCTAAAGCTGAATACGAGCCCAATTCAGAAATTAGACTTGTGCCCTGGAAGTCATTCTTAATTTAGCAGGGAAAATATTATCTTTCTGCTCAACCGGGGGATAACTTTAAAATGGCCTCATTCCCATGCTATGCTTTATCCCCAGTAAGCTGGTTTGTTACTATGTTCAAGGAGAGCTTTTTTCCCCCCTGCTTCCTTGCTTCCTTGCCAGTTACCTCTGTCTCTCTTAAAATAAGGAAGTAGAGGTCAATGGCAGACACTAAACAGACCTATAGCTGAAAAAAAGAATGGTGCCATGAAAGGACCAAACATTCAGCTCCATCCCAAAAATCAATTTGGAGATCTCATTCCCCTGCAAATGATCCAACAATCAACGGAGGGTAGCCCCATTAAAACACAGATGATTAACAAACTTCCTTCCATGGAATCCAGTGATGAAGGAGGCCAGTTAGGACACATAGGCGTTGTCTACACTACAGAGTTTTGTCGACAAAAGTTATGTCGACACTCAAAGCGCTATAATAAAAATTGGTATTGCATGTTCACACTCGCACCCTCTGTCAGAAGAGCACGTCCACACTTGGGGCACTAGCATCGACAGTGTGAGCAGTGCACTGTGGGTACCTATCCCACAGTCCAGCTTCACACCTTCTGCCGCTAGTTGTTGTTGAAAGGCGGAGTGGATCGCGGACGCATCTTGGGACTGGGCTCAATGTCCCATGATGCATTGCTTTCTGTCACAGCATTCCATGGGCTTCTGGTTTTCTTTCACTGCATTTTTCAATGGCCTTTGTTTGCTGTGCACCCTGGCATCTTTGTGAGAAGGGATGGATCCCGCTCTGCTCTGGTAACTGTCATGAAGACATCGCGGATGGCAGTGCAGTTAATCACAAAGTTCCTAACTGAAGAAGACTCCCAGCTGCCTGACATGCTGTGTGATATGGATAGGAGCAACTTTCGATTGCTTTTGGCATTCATGGAACAGCTGCAGATGGTGGACTATCGCTTTTGGGCTCGGGAAGCAAGCACTGAATGGTGGGATCGTATCATCATGCAGGTGTGGGATGACAAGCAGTGGCTACAGAACTTTTGAATGCAGAAAGCCACCTTCCTGGAAGAGTGTGGGGAGCTCGCCCCAGCACTACGGCGCAATGACCCCAGAATGAGAGCTGCCCTATCGATAGAGAAGCGTGTGGCAATTGTTGTGTGGAAGCTGGCGACTCCAGACTGCTACTGGTCAGTTGGGAAGTTGACTGTTGGGGGCTGCATTAATGCAAGTGTGTGTGGGGAGAGAGTGTTCCTCAAGGCCACATCTGCCAAAGCACAAGGAACAATGCACAGAAGCATGATTCACGCACAACATTGAAACATTTCAGTAAAATACACCTCTGGTAACATAACAATCACTTTCTCACTGACCCTTGGCAAGCACACATCTTGACGAACACCCAAAGCATGGTGAGTGTTGGCTGGGGAGGGGAGGGGTGCTACATGGGGAAAAGAGCACTCTGAAAGGGTTGTGGTGCAGCTGACTAGGGAAAAAATTCAGGTGGGGGTCATTCTAGCAGACATCTCAATTCTGAGGCTAAGCAGGGAAACAAGGGCACATCTACTACATGCTTGTGACTTCTGCCCTGCTCCCTATGCTGCTCGCCTGTGTGACGCTTTGGTTCCTGCACTAATGATTGCCGAATGGCACAAGAAAGTTTCCTACAATGGGGAAGGAACAAAGCAGATGTGCCAAGGAACCTTTGGCAGAGGATTGCTGAGTACCTCCAGGAAACTTTCCTAGAGATCTCTCTGGAGGATTCCCATGAGATCTTGGCGTGCATCAACACCCTGCCATATTGATTAGCTGCACAGGGAAATGTCCAGCATACAGAAACACAACCAGCCTCCCACATTTCTATACCCTGAATCCACCTCCGCACAACACAAACCACAGCCTCTTACCAGGCATCTCCTCTCCTGCTTCTTGCTCGCTGGAGAGCAACTGTGACTGGCTAGTCACCTCTGGAGTGGAGAACAGTTCCTGGCTGCCTGCCTCACTGGGAGACCCTGCTGGGAGTTCCACATTGTCGTCTAACTCCACCTCTTCATCAATGACTTTGTCCTCCGGGTTAGGTCTTCTTTCCACTGCCTCCAGGCCTGCCAAAGTATCCATGGGGCTCTGGCTGGTGTCAAGCTCCTTATAGACTGGCAGGTCCTAGGTGCAGCACCAGAGCGACAGTTTGCCTCCCTTGCCTTATGGTATGCCAGCCTCAGCTCCTTTATCTTCACTCTCCACTGCAGCATGTCCCGATCATAGCGCTTTTCGCTTAAGCTTCAAGAAATCTGCCCGTAGGTATCAAAATTCCTATGGCTCAAGCGCAGCTGGGACTGCACAGCCGCCTCTCCCCATATACTGAGCAGATCCAGCAGCTCTGCAGTGATCCAAGCAGGAGAGCATTCGCTGCAATAACCTACCATGGTCACCTGCGAAGATGTGATGAGACCTCTCCAGGCTGAGCAAACAGGAAATGGAATTTCAAAAATTCCCAGGGCTTTTAAGAGGGAGGGACAGACGGTTGTTTACCTGGCTGCATGGCAGTGGAGTTCAAACTGCTGACCAGAGCGGTCAAGATGGACATAGTGGGACACCTCCTGGAGGCCAATTAAAGTGATTAAAATCAAGCATGGTGTCTACACTGGCACTTTGTCGACAACAATTTTGCACAAAATGCCTTATGTCTCTCGTCAGGGTGGTTTTATGTTATTGTGAAAATGGCATTTTTGGTGCCAAAAGTCACTTTGCAGTGTGTACGCATCCACTGTTTTGTCGACAAAAGGCAGATTTTGACGACATAACTCTGTATTGTCGACAAGGCCCTAGTTTGTCTCCATGTTGTAGTAAATGTACACTAGGGAACAATCTTACTAACCTTTGGTCAAATCTAGTTTTAAATGTACCAAATGCTGGAGCTTCCACAAGTTCCTTTTTCATAACAATGCAAAGTTATCTGTCTTCATTTAAAACTCTGCCCACAGGAGGAAATAGTTTGGTCTGTGTTCTCCAGATCCAGGGCTGTGCACAAGAGTTGCACCAGTAGAGAATCTGTTTACTCCCACTGAGCACACAGATGTCAGGTGGGAAATTAGATGGGAAAAAATGACAAGAAGCTCTAAAGCGGCACTTGAGAACTCAACTGTAACCCATGCTAACATGGTTCTTTGCCCCATCTAGTGACTAGACCACGCATAGAAGTATGAGTCCACCACTGTCTTTGAGCTAATGGACCTCATCCTTTAATTTGAGTAAAGGTCCTGGTATTCAGTCCCTGTGGACAACCCAACCAGAGACATCATTATATGATACAACTGTTAAGGTTAAGACTGCTAGTCTATTTCAGATCCTTATTTTTCCACTATACTGAAAAATTACCTACAAAAGTTATTCTTTGGGGCTGTCAAATCTCTCATGGCCAAATTAGAATTATTCTGGAAAGTTTCAGCAAAATCCTGTTATCCATTTTTGGAATTAATCAAACATTACTAATACATTTCCCCCCCCTTGTACAAAGAAAACAAAATCTGATCATTATTTCAATTGATATTACTGAGAAATGGGATGATTTTTAAATCTCCAAACTTGGAATATACCAAGTCCACTATGGGGAATAGTTGATGCTTTGCATGGCTTATAGCATGTTTAAAATTAAGTTAGAAGAAAACATTTCCTTAACCTTTTTATTGCACAATAGCATGCACCAGTCTAAATAGCAGCAGACGTGATCTTGTACAACTGTAGAATTGAACAGTCAAATTGGGCCAGTTGTAAGTGTTAAGTGTGTTATTATGCTGTTGCTCAATATGTATAATACACATACAATCGTGGAAAACAACTGCAGCTATTAGGATCCCTGTTTCTATTGCCATATCTGTGAGGCAGGGAAGTGACAGAATCCTAAAAGATGAACAAAATTAGGATGCTTAAGGAACTCAGTGAGCCACTAATCTATGGTGCTCTTGAGACCATCATTAAATCCAGGAATCATTTAATTAATGTAGAAATGGGAACTACTGAATTTCCTAATTTCCATACAACAACCAGGGGAAATAGCCCCTTAGGAGAATGTTCAAATGAGTGGAAGCTGAAGTCTAATAAACTAGTATTATCAGAAATCATTGCTATGGAACACAAAAGCAAAGGTCAAAACTGTCCACGAGGACCACGTACCATTCAAATACAACATGAAATAAGGAGCAGTGAATGAGCACTCCATGCAGTCTTCATCTGTCTTAAACCACCACAAAAAGCCCATGGGACAGAATGTACCCGTGTCCACACCCTACATACTATTGCAATAATCTTTGTACAAGGTATGCCTTGTGAGGTATCATTTGAAAACTCATAATTTGCTGGTCAATACCGTCCTGATAACATATATGTAGCAACCTCATATGTGAAGTTATAAGATTCCACTCTATGGAGTTATTACCACATGTTCCAGACTGAGTTTCGTAAACAGGTCTGTCATTTCAACGTTAAACAGTCATCAAATGGGAAGGGGAGACAAAGGAACTTCAAACGGGTGAAGGAACATCCTTCCACATAGACTTTTTTGTCTCTTGGTACCCAGCTGGAAATGTTTTTCAAAAGGGGAACTGAAACTGTAAAAAGGAGGGGCAAACACTCCAAGATTCTCTCTCCCTGTCCATCGCATTCACAACACCTGAAGTGACAAAGGAAGCCTTCACTGAATTTTGGGAGAAGGGGCCCTGACATAGAGGGTTTGTCCATAATACTGCTGAAAACATATGGTGAGAAACTTTGCTTGAATCTGATATAGTTTGTTAAGTTAGGCACCAGTAGCAGTTTAGCTTTATTTTCTTGTAATCATTTCTGACTTTTATACCTCATTATTTGCACTCACTTAAAATCTCTCTTTGCAGTTAATAAAGATGTTTAATTGTTTTGTCTAATTCAGTGCGTTTAAACTGAAGTGTCTGGGAAACTCCATTTGAGGTGGCAAGTTGTGTGTATATTATTTCTATTAAAGAAAAAGCAGACTTTATTAAACTTGGATTATCGAGGAAAGCGATGGGCAGTAAAGGACATACATTTCTGTGGTAAAATCTAAGACTGGGAGTGTGTTGAGGGTCACCTTACAATACGACCAAGACTGGCTGGCTGTAGCACACCCACAGACATACCTGGGAGTGACTTGCATGCTGGAGACTGTCTGTGAGCAGTACTGTAGCAGCAAAGCATTGTAAAGGGCACCCCAGGTTAGAGGGCAAGGGTGACACAGCTACTTATTAGTTTGAGTTGTATGCAGGTATGTCACAGCCCTGACAAAAACCGGTTGCTGGTTGTGGAGTTAGCTCTTCAACCAAAGATTAAATAAAATTGTACTGGAAACATACGGGATCTTCCTATGGAGGTTCTTTAAGACAAATGCATACTTATTGGAGATGGTCTTTGGGGCAAGTTGCAGTGATTCCAGTGTTCAATGGTTTGATGTATTCCTTACAGTATATATTGTGGTGCTTCTTAGCTTTGCAACCTCTTCAATGCATGCTGCTTATGAAACTATCACATGAGGCTAACCACCTGCAATTATTGCCCAGAATCTCATCATCTTCCAGTCTTAGTTAAGATTATTGAAAAAGCCGTGATGACAATTTTCACAATATGTAGTTGCTTCTTGACCCTTGTCAATCTGGGTGCCAGCCTTTCTATAAAACAAAGACTGTGCTGACTGCACTGGTAGATGGTCTTCTTCTAGCAATGGATAAGGATCAGGTACATCTATCAGCTGCCTGAGATACCATTGAGGGTGACGTATTATTAACTTGCATGTGGACCAAAATGTGGATGGATAGAGCTACTTTGCATGGTTTTGTTCCTTTCTTGCTGAGTGTTTTCAGTCAGTGGTACTGGGCAACTGCTCCTCCTCGCTGCGAGCACACTCATATAGGGTACTGCAAGGTCCATCTTTCTCTCCTCTTGTTAAACATGAGCATGGCGACCTTTCGGATATGTGGGCTGAAAGGTCCTCAGCATGCTGTTGACATCCAGCTTTATGTCTTCATCTCATTCAACCCAGGCAAAGTGATCAATTCCTAATGATTTGGTTGAGATTGAGGGTTTACTGGATGAGAGTCAGTCTGGATAAAACTTTGATGGCAGGAAAACAGCCAGAATCCTCAATCCTAATTAGAGCTACGTGAACATTTTTGGACAAAATAGTTTACTAACTGAAAAATGCAGTTTTGTGTCAACCAAAGCTATTTGAAATTTCAGGTCAAATTTGGTGAACAGTTTCAGCTCGAAAAATAAAATTTAAATAATTTTTTTAAAAGTCAAAATAGTTCATTTTGACATTTTCTAAATGAAATGTTTTTGACTTAATTTCAAACATTTTGTTTTGAAATTTAGCTAATTTTTAAAGTAAAAAAAACCCCACACAAACAAAACAAAAAACACAGAAAAACATTATTTATGATTGAACAAAATGTTTTGTTCAACTCAGAACAAACTGTTCCATTTAACCTGAACTTTTCTGGGGGGACAGAGGGTGCTTCGTTTTGGCAAGAAATAACAAAAAAAAAAAATCCATTTAGGGTCAACCCACTTTTTTTTCCATTCAGTAGCAAATTTGAAAAATCAATCATTCATTCAGCTCTAATCCCAACTGGCATCCCTCCTGCCATTGCAGTCTGTGATCGCTCTTGAGCATAGATTATGAATTCTGATGAACTGTGTAACGTATTTTGTAAGGTGGGCTAAATAAGCCAGAGTCATTATCACTTGTGACCCAAGGTAAAATATGGACCTAGGACTCCAGAGATAAATGACATTTTTAATCAAATGTGCTACGCAGTCCATAAAATAAATAGACATTTCAGGGCTTGTCTAAGCTAGGGTGTGAATTCAAAGCGCAATAGCTATTCCGTGCTAACTCTACATCTGGATACTCTTGTCCTGCACCGGTGCCTTTTGGTGGTTTAGATTAATCCACTTCCACAGTGGATTATATAAATAAGGAGTTACTTCACTAAAGTTGGGGTAGCCATTAAAGTTAATAGAGTCACTTTGGTGTAAAACCAGTATGAGTGGAAAGTCAGACCCTATTATCTTTATTGTATGAAATATTTCTTTTAGTAACTAACCTCAGCTTAAAGTAACCCACTCCATGGACAAAGCTTTGTGCTGCCCACACACCGTGCAACTCCATGGAGGTTAAAGACGTTGCATGAGGTATAATTTGGCCACATTTATGATGCACTACACTCATTTCACCTATAGACAGATGTGACAATTCTCAGGGTACCCAGGACAGAGTCACCTGTCTCCAGCGAGAGGGAGACTTGCTGGTGCTTAACTGGATATCAGCTCCCTGACACCATCAGCCTGTGAGCCACCCAAACAAATTCCTCTGGGCTATGCCAGCCCTTACTTTGCCTTGCAGGTTAACAATAGGTGTATCCCTTTCCCCTTTGAAGTATTCCCTGTAGTTCCAGCCTCTTATCTACAGAACACTCACAGAAATACCAGGTCTACTGTCCCCAAAGGAACAGTGTACACACCAGCTTGAATGATTCAACTTAGGATCAGCTCCTTGTATAATACCACAGCACTGAGTTATATTTATAGTGAAAACAATGATAAGTTTATTATCGAGCATTCAAGATGCAAGAGAAAGTGAGAGAAGGTAATGGAAACAAAAGGGTTACATATAAAACAAAATCATAACATGATTTCTGGAGACTAAATTTAACAGACTAACCTTCTGTCTAAAGAAATTTATCTCATCCCAAATGTCCTTTGCAGCATTTCAACCAAGCCTGGTTGAGATCCTATTTTCATGAATGTAAACCTGCTGTCCATTTACTTCCTAAGTGCAGGATAAAGGGGTGTCTCCTTGCCCTCTGCTTATATCTCCCACGTTCATTGTCTGTTCTCAAAGACAATAACACTCACCTTCCCTCCCCATGACCCCACCCCCCAATGCTTGTTTTTCCTAAATCCTGCTTCTTCCCTGTACATTTTGCATCCTCCTTTGCAACTTTCTATGTAAATGGGTTTCCATTGTGTTGGATTACAATGCTTAATTTACATGTGATAGCTGAATAACCATCTTTTATCTGGCAGAAAAGCTGTTTGTCAACTCTGCCTTGATACAGACTTTAGGAACATATTTTCAGCATACTCCTTACATAGTATCTATATATTAATTTCACAATGCTACCAATGACAAACATGAGCCCGGCTTTCATTTAGATTTATGTTCACAACACAAATGAACATAGTTGATTTAAAGGCTTGTATCTTTCTAATCTGCTAGAGAGTCTTTAAAAGTAATTGTTCAAAAGATGACCATTTACTTTCTAACACTATGTGGTTCCTCAGAAAAAGGGACAGTACTGTATCCTCAGGGCTGATTTTATTGTTAAGAATATGTATTTTATTTCAATCTCTAGTTCATGTGAAAATGCATTAGTTCATTTTTATATACTGTTAGACAAATATTTTGATTATTTTAAATTGTATTAAAATAAAAATATTGAAAACAATCACCTTCAAAACAACATAGATATAACATTGTTAATTCTCTTACCCATACTGTTTTCGGCCTTTGTACAAGATGTACGCTTTAAAATTTCACGTACCTACAGAAAGAAAAAACAGTGATGCAACAAACATTTTATCTCTTAGGATTAAGTTAATTACAGTGCTGGCACAAGCCACAGAACTACACATAAAAATAAGGTATTCTTCTGTAGTTAATTTGTAGCAATATTTAAACCAATCCTGTGTTTGACTCATGTATAAATATATTGTTTAGACCATTGCATTTAAATTTTGAACTAAATAGAACTTTTTACTAAAGTGCTATAGAAAAACCTAAGAAAGTTACATCTATGAACAATATTTGAATCCATTCGTTTAGTAATATATTTACTAACAATAACCTCTCCAGAAGGCACAACTCATAGATTATATATCTTCTCTTGAAGAAAAGGTTGAAAATATCAGTCCAAATTCTCACATGGTATAAAGTTGAGTAGCTCCGTTGACTTCAACAGACCTGTGCTAATTTACATCTGTTAAGTTCCATTGCCTTCATTGAATCTATGCCACTTACATCAGCTGAGATTCTGGCCTCAGTCTTTCCTATGCTTTTAAATGTTGTCCTGAAAGAAGAACTGATATTTGGCTAAATTCTACTTGCCTTTACTCACAAAAGCAACCACATTACTTTCATCAAGACTCTCAAATAAATAATAAAATAAAATAAATAATACCTAGCTCTCATATAGCACTTTTCATTAGTAGGTCTTAAAATGCTATACAAAGGAGCTCAGTATCATTATCCCCATTTTTACAGAGCATGAAACTGAGTCACAGAGAGGGGAAGTGACTTGCCACAGGTCACCCACCAGGGGAGTGGCAGAACTAGGAACAGAAATAAGATAAGCAGGAGTTGAATCTATTTTTGTTCACTTTTACATTACTTTTATCTTGGTATAGAATATGAATGATTGGCTGTATATTGTAATAATTTTGCTTATGTTATGAATCTAGAGAGCCTAGAAATACTATAGATAGGTCAGATCCTCAGCTGCTGTAAATCAGTGTCATGCCATTGAAGTTAATGGCACTATGGTGATTTATACCTTCTTAGGCTCTGGCCCTAAAACCTGTAGCCAAATCCTGCAAGGAATTAATTGGAATTATTCCAGATTTACACCAGTTTAAGAGAGAGCAGAATCTGGCTCTTCTTTTCAGTAATTGACATATTTACCAATATCTAAATAAATGCACTAGGAAGCATGACAACATGAAAACATTATACATATGAAGACTGCACTCTTTTCCAAGCAATGAGACAGATGATTTGTTTACCAACTGTCTGGATCTGTCGCACCTGATTGCACTTTTCTGTTGCTATGAAACAATAAGCAAATACTGATGAAGGGGAACCAGGTGCATTCATTGTTGAAGCAGATACCATTGAGCACAGAAGATTCTATCAATACTGAGGCCACTTGTGTTTACTTACTATTCGACTGCGGGTAGCATTGTCGAAAAATGTGTCTTTGTCTTTAATGTTGTACCTTAAAATGTTGAGAGACAAGATTAGTTACGTTTTCATGAATGCTACTAATGAATAGGATTATACAACAATTTGGTTAAGAATCCATCTGAAACAATTACAACAAAACCTGTATTAAGTGACCATTCAAGCAAAGGCTTGAGAAAAACCAGCTGCTTAAAGGAGAGGGAGGTGAAGCAGAACTGTATGTATTTCTGGATACTCTAAGGTGGTCTCTTAAGACAGAAGGTTGCCTGATCCTATTGAACTCTACAAATATTTCAGTGTATTAAGAAGACTGTGGGTTACACAGGTTGAAAGGAGGAGGAGGAGGAGTTAATGCAGAAACATTATCCAAATGTAAAATACCTTTTGGTAAGGAAAGTTTTTATTCTTTACATAGACTGACATTCTCTGTTTTTTCCTTATAAAATAACCACAGTATTCTAACATTCCTTGACTCAATTAATGCTATCAGATTTCAACTAGCCTTAATGCAGATGTTCATTACTCTTTTTCAGGATGACTAAGAAGTCAATACTACATTTGCTTCCATACAATCAATCCGTAACAGTTATGTAATTATTATATTATTACATAAATAACTGCTAAACAAACCCAGGAATCCTCATCAATGAAATTAACTTTGCCAGTTTACTCCCTCTAGCTGACTTAACATGTATTCAGTTTTAATGCAAATTGTCAGAAAGGGCAACAAATGATGTGGTAGGTCATTCTATTTATATGACTTTATTTGTCAGACATAAATGCAGGGAACCAGTTCTTAATGAGGTAATAAGAACTGCTAAACATCATATTAGGCCCAAACGTATTATTGTGGGTGGAAAGGCAGGTGGCAAGAATTCCTTATTTGCATAGTATTGGCCAAATTTTAATTACTTTCATAAATCTAATCTAACCAGAAAGAAAAAAAAATGCTTCTTTATAAGTTATATATTTTTTACAAGCTAGACTGCATGGTTACTTTCCCTACTCATAATTTATTTGGTACTTTCAATTCAAGTTAAAAACACACCTATTTCATTGAATACAACCCCTTCTGTTACCCGCACAGTCATAAGTATCTTATCCAATGGAAGCAGTTACATCCAGTGAGTGAAATTCTGCATTGACTTATATCCTGTGCAAACCCACTAAAACCAACAAGCAGTATAAGTTAGATTCACATTCACTGAGACTACCTTACACCTTACTAATGTGCATGTGTAACGTAGTCTACATTAGTGTAACTTACACACGAAGGAACTGAAAGAAGATGCCAGTTAAAGAGGGAGTTGGCCTATCTTGCATCCTCTTGTTAGTTGCTTTTCTTGCTATGCCTCTCTTCTCATCTCTCGGCATGTAATTTACATCAACTCACCTTCCATTAAACTGACTCATAAGGCCAAATTCAGAGGTGATGTGACAAGGTGTGTAAGTTACCCAATGATAAGTAAGGGTGAGTGAGAATTCCACGGGCTCTGCTTCTCCATTCATTTACACCAGTGTAACTCCATTAACTTTACTGGACTTATTCCTGATTTGCATTAATTTAAGAGGAAAATCAGGCTCCATGTATGTCAGTTGAAGGAAGTAGATAGTGAGACGAAAGGTACTGTAATGTGAGGGGAGGCAGATGGCATAGGTTACCAAACTTAGACTCCTACTAGACTTATTTGGACTCACTTTTGAATTTGACCCATAGGGATAAATTCCGCTTAAAAGCAGTCAACTTTCATTTACCTCAATAGTAGCTGCACATGCATATCTGAGAGCAGAATTCAACTCAGATGTGGAGATGGACCTATGCCACAAAGTTCATATCAGGAACCAAAATATCTGATGTGTCAAGAGGTGCTTGGATTTTGATTCAGATACTTACTTAAGTACTAGGTTTTACAATGGAAGAAGGATACCAACAGAATTTTACAGTCTGCTTAAATGGCTTTTACATTTTAAAATACTCACAAATATATTTTCTCTCTGGAAAAGGGGTAAGACAAACTTTTCATCTTTGTGTTGTTTTGTTGTGGCACCTTGGGCTGCAGAGGCTTTGTAGCTTTGTGCCATATTTCATAGAGCTTCTTGAGAATTCCTCCTTCTTCTTTTATTTCATACATCTAAAGGAGTGAAAACCATGTACATTATCAAATGACTTTCAAAATGTGCATTTAAAAAAACACATAAGTGAGATAGACTGTGGTCCCATTTAAAAAGTTTAAAAATTGAATTAAAGTCTGTGGAGTCTCTGAAGATATACGCCTATGTAAGAGAGATCAGACGCTGTCCCTTGTGCTTTGGGTTACATCAGCCATAGTTCTGGTCCAGTTCCTAAGCTTCAAATAATGTCATTATGCGAAGTAGTTCTCAAGCACCTCAAGAGGTGAGACAGTGGTCAGACAATAACCTTCTATTCAGCCACTTACCGGAAGAACAGCATAAACGTACAAGGCCAAGTTCAGCAGTGACAATCAGTGGAATACATCACACAACAATAGAGCCCTAAACGGACACAAATTTATAGCGCGGATGTGGATATCCGCGGACATAAATCGGTATACGTGGAACCGCAGGGCTCTCCCAGGAACTCTTCTGTGAAAGAAGCAGAATGTGAGGCCACCGCTCCCAGGAGCCAGCACCCCGATCCTCCGGCATGGCTGTACTACTCCCAGCCCCACTCAGGCAAGCACCAGGCTCACCAGCAGCTGTCTCTGGTCGCGCTAGTGTGTGCAAGCAGCGCACATGCTCCCAGACAGGAGACGCAGGCAGCTGCATGGAAGGGATGGAGGCAGGGGTGGGGGCGGTACAGCCGCGCAGGAGGAGCTCCCGGCACGGGGTGCTGGCTCCTGGGAGCGGCGGCCCTGCATTCTGCTCCTTTCACCACTGTGGTTCCTGGGAGAGCCCTGCGGTTCCGCGGATACTGATTTATATCTGTGGATATCTGCATACGCGGATATAAATTTGTACCCATGCAGGGCTCTACACATCAAGTGTAAACCAGTCAGAAAAGGGGGCTAAATGAGTGTAACCATAGAAAAAATGTGCAACTTGCATCAATTTGGCATTAACGTGTGCAAAATAAGTCCAAGTTATATGACTAGTGGACAGAAAGATAAAAGGGGTAGCAGGAAAAGCAACTATCAGGAGAGTGTAAGGCCATGTCTACAGTGCCAAATTAAGTTGACCAAACATATATTGGCAAACAGCCGCTGCAGCAATTGCATTGCTTGTGCATGTCTATACTTTCCTCTTTGTGTCGGTGGGGCACGTCCTCACCAGGAGCGCTTGTATCAATTGTACTGTCAGCATTGTGGGATGGCTCCTAAAAGCCACTAACTGTCGACATAAGCAATGTAGTGTCTACACTGAGACTGCGTCGGCCTAACTACATCGATCTTGACTCTGTGCTGCTCACGGTGGTGGGAGTTATTCAGTTGGTATAGCAAGGCAGTTAATTAGATTGACGTAAGCTGCCTCGTGTCATCGACCTAACTCCCTAGACCAGACCTAAGATAAAGCAGGCAATGTAAGTTATGCTACTTTACCATTTACACTCACATAGACCTCTTTTCTGACCAATTTACCCATCATTTACATAACTACTAGACATGTTCCAGATTCTTCCAATGGTACACCCTTTTACTCCAAGCGTAATACAACGGCTCATCATCTCTGTCTTACAGATTCCATTTCATTCAACTAGTGACTGTGATTGATTACACACCTGATTCATTCCCTACACACACCACTGTAGTAATCTTTGTGCAAAACATGCCTTGTGAGATATCATTTGAAAACTAACTCCTTGCTGGTCAGTAATATCATTGTGAAATGTATGTCACAACATTATATGTAAAATTATGAACATAAGCTGAAATCATGAATGAAGTGTGTTTACCAGGCAAGTCTGGGGAGTGGGTAAACCTGTTTCTCAATGACAAAGGACAAGCTGATGCCTCTAATCAGGTGTCATCAAAGTTGATGGGCAATCACCTAGCAAGTGGCCATTCTTTGACAAGGAAGCAGAGCAGGAACAAACAGATCTGCATCTTAGCAAACAACAGCATGGAACCTCTTTCACCACCAGACTTCTTGTCTCCAGCCACACAGTGGGAGTGAACTTTAGGTAGGGGTAACCCTCAGGAAAATGCATTTCAAAAAAGTCACTGTACTGTCAAAGGGAAGGACAAAAACATCCCAAGGTACCTCTGTATAGCCACCTCTTTGAGTACGGCTACACTATAGAGCAGGGGTGGCCAACCTGAGCCTGAGAAGGTGCCAGAATTGACCAATGTATATTGCCGCCTCCCACCCACCGACAGCCCCGCCAATCAGTGCCTCCCTCCCTCCCCGCACCTCCCGATCAGCTGTTTCCTGGCGTCCAGGAGGCTCTGGAGGGAGGGGGAAGGAACGAGGGCATGGCAGGCTCAGGGGAGGAGGGAGGAAGGAATGGAGTGGGGGCAGGGCATGTGGCAGAGCCAGGGGTTGAGCAGTGAGCACCCCCCGGCACACTGGAAAGTTGGCGCCTGTCGTTCCAGCCCCAGAGTCAGTGCCTATACAAGGAGCCACATATTAACTTCTGAGGAGCCGCATGTGGCTTCAGAACCACAGGTTGGCCACCCTTGCTATAGAGTTTACAGCAGTGCAGCTGTGCCACTGAAAGCTCCCTAATGTTGTCACTCTAAACCAGGGGTCTCAAACATGCGGCCTCTGGGCCGCATGCGGCCCGCAGAGCTCTTCCCTGCAGCCCGCCAAGCTCCCTGCGCCCCCCCCCAGTTACTTCCTGTCGCCGCCAAACTCCCCTCAACCCCGCCCCCCCCCCCGAGTTATTTTATGTGGCAGCTAAGCTCCCCGTGCGCTGCTCCCTAATGTTTGGGGCTGGGTCTCTCCCCCGGCCCCGCCTGCCAGAGCCTGCAGCTCATGCTGACTCCGCTCTGCCGGCTTCCAGCATCACCTGCTGCCGCAGGGTCCTAGTGCCCCCCTCCTCTAGGGCCAGGGCAGGCTGCCCTTCCGCCCTAGTCCTGAGCCTCTCCAATGCCCCGAGCCTCTCCAATGCCCCAAACCCCTCATCCCCAGCCCCACAGCCCTCACCCCTGCACCCCCTCCTATCCCCAAACTCCCTCCCAGAGTCTGCACCCCAGACCCCCTCCCCCATCCAAACTCCCTCCCAGAGCCTTAGGCAGGTGAGGGCGGAGTTGGGGGGGGGGCAGGTTCTGGGCACCACCAAAATTTCTACAAACCTACCACCCGTGGAAGAGGCAGATCAGGGGTGGAGTGGTGGTGCAACCCAGTGCACTGGGGGGGCTTTACTGAGTGTATACATTTTATTAAAACAGCTTGGAGGAGGAAGTGGAGAAGAGACGGGGCAGGGGAGGGGCCAGGGGCAGCGAGGGAGGTGTCAGTGATGCGGCCCTCGGGCCAATGCACTAGTCCTCATGTGGCCCTCATGGTCATTTGAGTTTGAGACCCCTGCTCTAAACCAACAGGAGAGAGCGAGAGCTCTCCCTTCGGCTTAACTACTCCAGCCCCTGCGAGCGAGCGGCAGTAGCTATGAAGGGAGAGCTTCCCCCACCAACAACATAGTACTGTCTGCACTGATGCTTATGTCAGTGTAACTTATGTTGCTCAAGGTGGTGGTTTATTCACACCCCTGAGCAACAGAAGTTATGCCAACATAAGCTGTAGTGTAGACATAGCCTCTGTCTTTCACCCAAGAAGACAAAAGAAACAGCCTTTGGATTTTGGGAGCCGATTCTGGCCTGAGAATTTGGTGAGCAATATTACTGGACACATATGGTAAGAGTTTCAACTTGAACCAAGTCTACTTGGTTAAATTTTAGTACTAGGAAGCATTTAATCTGCATTGCTCTTGTAATGCCTTATACTTACGCTCATTTAAAATCTCTCTCTTTGTAAGTAAATAAACTTGTTTTATTCTTTAAGTAAAACTAATCCAATGATGTGAATTGTTTGGATAACTCTATTTAATGTAGCAGACTGTTGTATATTGGTCCCCTTAGATGGGTAACAGACCTAATATATTTGGACTGTCCAGGAGAGGGCTGGACAGTGCAGAACATACATTTTGGGGGGAAAATCTGGGACTAGGAGTGTGTTGGGCTCCCCTGCAAGTGGTAACCAAAGTTTGTGGAAGCCAGAGTGTCACTGATGTGTGGCTGGCAGGCTGCAGCTACACACGGACGCTCAGGGTGTGACCTGCACGCTGTTTGTGAGCGATCTCGGTGGGAGCTACAGCAGCAAAGCATTGTGAGGCTGATGTAGACCCTCACTGGTCTGCTTTGCACCCCAGAATGTCATACTAACTGAATATTTGTTTCCTCTACTTTTAGGCATTGATCTTCACTGTCCCCTTTCACAACCAAGCCACTGGTGTTTGGGACTGCACTATATAAAGAATGGGCATATTTAGATATGGATTGACTGTGATATATGTAAAAAGCAACAGAGGGT